TTCTGAAATTTCAAATACAAAAAACCAGTATTATTTGGCTCTTGAATTTTGGAGTACCCGGTTTTAATGGGTGTGTTTCAGTACAGAGAATTATCATTGCCAACTAGTGGTAAAAGATTCTACCTGCCCATTGCAAATCCATAAATCTTTTGAGGAATCTGTGAAGTCATAAACAATCATTTTGAGGCTATTTATAAAATTTTCTCTCACTGTGGCTGATAAAATCATAGATCACACACACACACAAAAGTTGGAAAGGATTTCCACAGACTATCAAAGGATCTCCAGTGCTTTATCAGTTCCAGATAGAAGGGTCACTCTCATCTTTTAAAATCCCTCCAGAGAAGATAGTAATTAATTCTGGTATTTATTTATAAAGGTGGAAATTTTTTCCTTTACTAAATTTTTTGCTCTTAAATCCATTTTCTAGATATATGTTCTGAGAAAAGAAACCAATTCGTTGAAAAGAAAAAGAAATATTTACAGAAATGTCTGTTCTGAGAGATAATTTGTTGAACCTGGGACAAAAGTTATTGTAAAACATTTTAAATGAGCACTGTATATTAGCTGATATTAAGGAAAATGTATTAGGATTTTTTCAAACAAAAAACAAAAACATGGTCTCAGAAACTTTTGCATTTTTTACAAATAAATATGAACACGTATTTGTCTATAATTTACATAAGTAGGGGTGTCACTTGTAATATAAGTGCTTAATGTAATCATTGAAATTATTTACACCTAACTTTGCTTTCTATGTCTTGTTTGTTTATAAATTGTTCACCTGTCCATAAGTCTGATAAGTAATATGTTCCGTGTTCTTCTAATTTTATTGTAACATCTCTCTTTATATCTAAGTCATGTATCCATTTTGACCTTATCTTGGTAAATAGTGTAAGGCTGTAAGATAGTGGTCTATTCCCAGTTTCTGCCATACTGCTTTATAGTTTTCTTGACAAATTTTGCCAAATAATGAATCCTTATCCCAAAATCTTAAGTCTTTACACCTGTCAAATACAAGGTTATTATTTTTATTTGCTACTGTAAATTGTATGTCTACTCTATTCCATTGATCTACCTTTCTATTTCTTAGTCAGTACTAGATAGTTTTGATAATTACTGCCTTATCATATGTAGTTTAAGATCTGGTACTGCTAAAACTCCTTCCTTTACATTTTTTTTCATTATTTCCTTTGATATTCTTGAGAACCTTTTCAATGAGTTTAACTACAAAGGTCAGAAGAGAAACTATATTGGCAGGGAGGAAAGGATCAAATGAGGGTTGTTTTTTTTTTTTAGGATAGGGGAGACATGGGCATGTTTATAAACAGAGGGAAATGAACTAGTAGAGAGGGAGAGATTGAAAATAAGTGAGAGAGCGGAGATGACAGAGGGAGCGTTCTGTTGGAGGAGATGGGATAGAACGGAATCACTTGAATATATGCATATATATATATACACTTATATGCATACATACATATAAGACATTGCTAAATGGATGTGAATGGATATCAAATGATATGAAAAAATGCTTCTCAAAAGAATTATGACCTATTAACAACTATATGAAAACTTACTCCAAATCTGTAATGGCAAGAGAAGTGCAAATCAAAACAGGTCTGGGGTTTTACCTTATACAAAACAATTTGAAAAAGATAAAAATAAATAGAAATAGTCAATGCTGGAGGGGCTATGTAAAGATCAGCTGATTGATAAACTAATATTGATATAGTGATATTGGAGAAAATTACTGGAATCAAGCAAAAAAATGAGTGAAGTATCTCTACCCTTTAATTCAGAGATACAAAATATTCACAGTAGCATTTTGGTGGGAACAAAGAACTAAAAATAGAATAAGTGCCCATTAATTGAGGAATAACTAAACAAATTATGGTACAGGTAAAAAATGTAGTGTACTAGAAGAAATGATTAATAAGAAGAATGCTAAGAGTCATGAGAAAACTTAAATGAACTCATGTAGAGTGAAGAAAGCAGAACCAAGTGAAAGGTATACCAAATGACTACAACAATGAACATGGAAAGAAGAATAAAATGGAAATGAAGGCTGTGTGATTATAATTCCCAAGCTTCCCCAGAGCAGAGCTGTGAAAATACATCTCCTTTTCATTGAAGAGATGGAAAACTGTGGGTGTGGAACATTGCATATACTGTCAGAAACAACTGGTGTGTTTGTTGGTTTTGCTGATATTTCTAAAAAATCTTTTGATACTAGGGATAAGAATGATAATTATAATAATAATATGCTAGCTATTATTGGGGATGGCTTGCTAGGTGGGGAGAGGGGAAGGGATGAAGGTGAAGTAAAAACAACAAGTATCAATAAAAATATTAAAAACAGTCAGTTCTGTAGAAAATTCAGTTGTCTGGTACTTCAATTTCTAATAATGCCAGTCAGATTAATTGAACAAACCAACCTCCCTCCCTCCCTCTTTCTCAAACATTTTTTAATAATAATAAAACTGGAAATACGTAGATAGTGAAGAAAGAATGAATAATGCAAGTTGCTTTTACAAAATCACTTCATATCAGAAAAAAAAAGTGGTGATGTTGGGGAGAGAAAGGTAGATTGAAGAAGGGATGCTATCAGCAGCAGGAGAGCCAAGTGTCAAAAACAGGTGATGTTAAAGATGTGATGACCAGCTTCAGTTTTTTGTAAATATAACACTGACTTTGCCTGCACTACCTGAAGGCCAGGTATATCATCACATTTCACTCTTCTCTCGGGGTTTTTTGATACCTTTAAGGGGATTAGGGTTATATAGGCTTTCTGCCAGTGGTTCTAGCAATGGTATTCTTCAAGTGTAGGTAATGTTTCATCCACCGCAGTTCCATTTAGGTACTAACCATCAAATTAGTTTTTACAAAGAAATGTTTACTTCAGAAGGTATAATCACAAATATACAAACTTATCTCCAATATGTAGGACTTAGTTCTCCTCCCTTGTACTACCTATCTCTTGAACTCAGTGCCAGTTCTAAGGGTAAAACACACCTTGAGTTTTAGGCTCAGGCACCCTGGCTTCTTGGGGCTAGGCTGGCTGCAACATCCTGCCTGGAATCTCAGTTACAAGGTCACCATATATTGAACACTGGTTTAATGGCCATGGGCTTGCAGGAAAGAACTCAATACAGAAAGGGAGTGATCCTTTCAATCTGACCAATTTAAATTTCAGTTCTGGTTATGCAGCTGATACAGGAGGCTACACCCACCCATGAGGAGACCTAGACCCACACCCACCATTCTAGGAGACCTAGAATGCCTCCATATCAGGAGATCTGGGCTTGCCCGAGGGTGGTTTCATATTAGGTGATGTGCTATTTGCTACAAAGTTCACTTACATTAAAACATGAGAGAAGTCAAGACTTAACGCTTCATCTTTAACTTAGCTCTACACTGTAAAAACAACTCCTGCAGGATCCGTGTCTTCTGTTAAGCCAGGAGCTTGGGCTTCTCTGGAAAGGATGTAATTGAACACGACTTTTGGTGTCAGTTGGAGGGTCCAAGCTGCTACTAGCTTCCAAGAATGGATAGACCCATCAACCTTAAGATGGCTTTTTGGCCTCTGTATTCAGGGAAGGAGTACAAAACAGAAGAGGTAGCTAGGAGCTCAAGGCCCAGAGGCAGGCTTTCCTAGTCAGGAAAGCCACCCTATACAAAGAGTCTCCATTTTTTGTCAGAGTGGTGTTGGAGCCCTTCTTCCCTTTTTTAATCCCTTGCAAGAAGTCTCAGAAAAAGAAAATTGCTTACCATACATTCTGGAGAAGAAGGAAAAGTGAACCAGAGGGTGGAGTCACTGCTTTTAAGGTCTACTGAGTGTGAAGTTTTTGGTACTATGGCTCTCCATGGAGCTTTGACACAACTTCCACCCACCCACCCCCACCTTCTCCATCCATGGAGATGGGGAAAGGTGGAAAAGGAACAAGGGAAAAGCCAACCTTTGCTCTATTTTATCCCAAAATGCGAAATCCTTCAAAGCTGAGCGTGGTTTTCCAGAGGTGCGGGCTTAGGATTCCATGTAAAGTGCCCAGGCCAGAACACATGGGTCACCTGAAGTGGCCAAGGCCAATTCCATCTTTGAAAAATGCTACATGGATTGGCCACTGTTACAATGAAATTGGAATATTGGAGGAGAGCTCTGTACAGACTCATGTGCATTTTTTTTTTTAAGGCAATTGGAGTTAAGTGACTTGCCCAGGGTCACACAGCTAGTAAGTGTCAAGTGTTTGGTCTGAGGTCAGATTTGAACTCGGGTCCTCCTGATTCCAGGGCTGGTGCTCTATCCACTGTGCCACCTGGCTGCCTTATCATGTGCATTCTTAAAGAGAGACTCTAAACACCTTTTTGTATCCAAATTAAGAAAAGGGAACTGGGGGAAAAACATTACTGCCATTCTGTTTTTATAATTTTCTGGTCACAGATCAAAGACTAGCGTTTGTTGAATGATATCTGGGTGACTAGTGAAGCTATAACCATAGTCGGGAGAGAAATTTCATTTTTTGACACACATTCATCTGGACATCTTTCTGGACATCCTCCTGTTTACCCATCACAACTCTGAAGGACTTATTTCTATCAATTGAGGAATCAAACTTGTCCCCATCTTCAGCCATTCCAGTGTAGTGCTCAACACAGGTCTAGTTGAGCTTGGGAAAGGTGTATCCTTCTCTAGGGTACAGATGTTCTGCCTGCACTTCAATTTTGTCAAACCATGGACTGGTTGGAGGTTTTTGGGGTGGGGGTGGGAATAGATATAGGTGGGGATGAGAGAGGAGGGGCAGGAGATGAAGATAAAGCCAAGTGAGTTTAAAGGCAGCTGTGGCCTTAATTGAACTGCATGGCAGTGGACTGGTAGACATATTAACTCATTTATTGGTCCAAAAGTCTTCTCTCTCTCCCCCCCAACATGTGCTGCAGGTTACCAGCAGACATGAATGTCTCCTAGCTCTATATTTTCATGCTTTTCTTCTTTCCTTATGCAGGTGGTTAGTATTTCCTGACTACACATGACAAAACTTAATGAAGCTCTTTTGGAGTTGAACCTAAGCACTGCTGCATACAAGATGAAGATGTGGTTTTTTATCAGTTACCTAATTACAATGTGCTTCATATCCTGTCTAGCAGGTAAGATAATCTATTGGCATAATTTGCATAAATTAAAGCATTTTCAATTTTTAGTAACTCCTCTCCCTTAATCATTCCCTTTCCTACCTACTTCTCTGTTGGGTAAAATAGATTTCTATACCCAGTTTAGTCTATATATACATATACATGTACATGTACATGTATGTATGTATACATATACATATATATATATATATATATTTACCTCTTTGAATTAATTTAGATGAGAGTGAGGTTTAAATGTTGTCCTACCCCCCTCTATATCCCCCACACTAAAAGCTCTTCCTTGTGTGTCTTTTTCATGTGAGATAATTTTCCCTATTCTTCTTTTCCCTTCCCCTTTCTCCCAGTGCATCCAGCTTTCTTGCCCATCCATTTTTTTTACATCATCCCAACATAATCGACTTATTCCTATACCCTCTATCTATGTAAAATCCTTCAAATTTCCCTAATAATGATAAAGTTCTTAAGTGTTACATGTATCATCTTCTCATATGGGAATGTAAACAGTTTTACTTTATACATTTCTCTTTCGTGGTTACCTTTTTATGTTTCTTTTGAATCTTGTATTTGAAAGTCAGATTTTCTACTCATCTCTGGTATTTTCATTAAGAATATTTAAAAACCTTCTATTTCATTAAGTATCTTGGTTGTAATTCTAGCTCTTTTGCCATCCAGAATATCATATTCCTAGCCCTTCAGAGTGGTAACTACTAAATCTTATGTGATCTTGACTCTGGCTCCATGGTACTTGAATGGTTTCTTTCTGGCTGCTTGTGGTATTTTCTCTATGATGTGGGAGTGCTGCAATTTGGCGACAAAATTCCTGAGAGTTTCCATTTTGGAATCTCTTTCAAGAGATGACTGGTGGGTTCTTTCAATTTCTACTTTTCCTTCTGGCTCTAGAATATCAGGGCAGTTTTCCTTGATAATTTCTTGAAATTTTGTGTCTAGGCACTTTTTTTGGTCATGGCTTTCAAGTGAATAATTCTTAAATTATCTGTCCTTCATTTATTTTCCAGGTCAGCTGTTTTTCTGATGAGACATTTCACATTTTCTTTTATATTTTTCATTCTTTCAATTATGTTTTATTGTTTCTTCATGTCTCATGGAGGCATTAGCTTCAACTTGACTAATTCTAATTTTTTAAAAAAAGTTATTTTCTTAATGGAGGTTTTGTACTTGTTTTACCAAACTGGTCATTCTCTTTTCATAATATTCTTGTATTGCTCTCATTTCTTTTCCTGTTTTTTCCTCAACTGCTTTAATTAGAATTAAAAAAAATGTTTTTGCTCTTTCTTAAAAAAATCTCTTTAGCTCTTCTAGGAATTTTTGTATACAATCTTCATTTTTCCTTGAGGCTTTGCTTGCAAATGTTTTCAAGCTATTATCTTCTCCTGAGTTTGTGTCTTGAGCTTCCCTGTCACCATAGAAGCTTTTTATGGTCTTGTTCTTTTTTTGTTGTTTGCTTATTTTCCCCATCTGTTTCTTGGCTTTGTACCAAATGTTAGAGTTAGACTCTGTTCACCTATGGCTAGCCTGAGCTCCTGTGGCTATCTCTGGGAGCATATAGGTTTTTTGTGCTTATATAATCTAGGGAAAGTTCTTTTCATTGTCCTCTTGGTCTAGCTCTGGTTCTTACCTAGGTAGGATCTCTGTTCCATCATTACTGTGAACCATAACTTCTCCTCTCTGCCTTGGAACTATATCCTGGAAGTGGGTAAGGGGTGAAGGAATTTCCAGAGGATGCCTGGTTCTGTACCCTTTGTTAGCATGGGGTCCCCTGTAATATCTTTCTGACCATGTATTTAGTCCATCTACCATCCTTGAGCAGTGACTGCTCCTGGTTCCACCGCTGCTGCTGCTGCCTCTAAGCTTCATAGCTGATGCCACTTCCACCATGACATGCTCTTTGGTAGTCTCCACCCTAGTGTCTGCAGGCCTCTCTTTCTGTCTTCCTGCACTGTCCTTCGCTGGAAAAAAAAAGGTGAATGTGACTTTTTTTGTTGTTATTTTCTATCCCACTCAAAATGTTTTTCTTTTAAAGTTGTTTAATGGGTCAGGATGGGAGAGCTTAGCAGAAATGCTCACTATATTCTGCTGTTTTGGCTCTCCCCATGATATTTATGTTATCTCCCTATAAATCTTAGGTATCAGAGACTTTTGGTACAAACATTTTTCCAGTAGATGTCTTCCCTTTTTATTCCATCTGAATTGATTTTGTTTAAAAATTGTTCAATTTTATGTAATCAAATGATTTGTCTTTTGTAATCAACTCTAAGCTCTTTTTTGGGTTAACAACTCTTGCCCTAGTCACAGCTTTGAAAGGTACCTGATCTCTTTATCTTCTCTTTTTTTGTGGAATGACCTTTCATATTTAAATCATGTATACATTTTAGCTTATTTTGGTATGTGACTTAAGATATTGATCTAATCTAATTTCTGTCAAATTGTTTTCAAAATTTCCATTAGTTATTATCAAATGGGTTTTCTTTTGCAAACAATTAAAGTTATCAAATGGTATGTAGTTGAATTTGATTTAAAAAATTTTTTTATCTATTTTGACTTAAAAAGAAGAAAATAAAGTAGAAAATTTTATTATTTTTAACCAGTACCAAATAACTATGGTGATTGCTATTTTATAATATAATTTGAGATCTAGAAGTGCTATTCCTTCATTTCTGCTTATTTTCCCATTATTTTCCTTGAAATTCTCTACCTTTTGTTTTTCCAACTTTTTTCATCATTTTGTCTAGTTCTACAAAGTACCTCTCTTTTGAAAGTTTCATCAACTATTTAAATCATTTGTGCTTAAATCTATATATTAATTTAGATGATATTGTCATTTTAATTATATTGGCTTAGATTAACCATACAACAGATAGGTGGTACAGTAGAGTGCCAGGCCTGGATTCAGGAAAACTCATCTTCCTGAGTTCAAATCCAGGCTCAGATACTTACCAGCTGTGTGACCCTAGACAAGTCACTTAACCCTGTTTGCCTCAGTTTCCTCATCTGTAAAATGAATTGGAGAAGAAAATGGTAAACCAATTCAGTATCTTTGCCAAGAAAACCCCAAATGGGGTCATGAAGAGTTGGACGTAACACATAACTCAACAACAAAATCTATTCACTTAGCACAGTGCCTGGCATGTAGTAGGTGCTATATAAATGCTGACTATTATGATTATGGTTAGCGATTATATATGTGTGCATATATTTTATACTCTCCTATGGTCAAACTACATCTAGAATATTATGTACAGTTCTAGGAAAAGACATTGATTAATTTAACGTTATCCTGAAGAGGGTGACCAGGAAGGTGAAAGGCCTTGAGATTATGTCATATGAGTTTCAGCTGAAGGAATTAGGGATGTTTAGCTTGGAAAAGAGAAGTTCCTAAGGACTCTCCTAAGGAGCAGAATAGTTATCTTCAAATATTTGAAAGACTCTCCTATATAAGAGAGATTGTAATTGCTCTGTTTTACATTTTTTCTGTTTTTTTTGAAGGATTATGTAAGTTGTACAAGTGGCATATGTGGGTTGTACAGAGTATACATGCATATTTTCTTCCTATTGTCTTGTATTGGCTTAGGGGACCATTTTCTGATCATCCTTGTGGGTTTGAACTTGTTATGATGAGGTATCCCCAAATTGGCTCCTGAGCCAGGACAACTGATGGCTTAGAGACTTGCAATGGGAAGTGATGAAGAGTTTTGACCCTGAACTCAGTGGATACAGAAAAGGAGTGACCCATTACCTCTCTCTTACTGTTCTTAACTGTGCCCAGAGAATCAGGTGGAGGAAGGGGAGCGGCCCTATCTCTCACATAGTCCCAAGTAGTTGTGAGCACATTCTACCTAGACAAGTATATGCCTGGGATAAAATCCCTCTTCTTTTGTGTTTCCTTTCCTTTTGAGTTTTGAAAAGTTAAAACATCTTCAGTTATGGTAGTGATCATCTTCCAGAACGGTAGCGGATGATTGTAGTGACTACCTGAATGGCAGTGACTTGGAGCAGGTGAAGCAGTTACATCAGAGAAAATAGTCACCATGAAGAAAAATATTGATCTAGAGTATTTGAACAGTTTAAGGGAGAGATGAAATATAAAAATGGCTAATAAACAGTCTTATTAACTGTATTATGTCCTAGTTAGGCTTGAGTATTAGTCTCCCAGTCAATTGTATTCATTGTTGCAGGTTAAATTTCTGAAACCTGTGTAATTGTTCTATTGATAAATGCTATGGTTCTTTTTATGGAAATTATTGCTTTCTGTGTAGGAAGAAATGACCTGTCTTCTACCCAGTTTATATTATACAATGGGTATCTCTTTTCCTACTTTCCCTTTTTCTTTGGGAGTGGGTGGATAGGATATATATATTTTAACCAAAAAGCAGAATTATTTCCATGATCCATGAGTGAGGATTTAATATATCAATGTATATAAGGATCCCATTAATTAGAGGTTAGGATTTCCCCAAACTGAACCTAGTCAAAAATAACTGATATATCAAAATTTTCAATTACTCAAAAAGAAAATCAAGTTATACATAATATAAATTGTTTCATATGCAATCCTCTTTTTCTGTTTATTGTGCTCGTAAATGCTCATTTTATTCATATTTGTGACTTTCGTTAAAACAAAACAAAACCTTGAGAGAAGAGCCAAGATGGTGGAGAAAAGGCAAGGATTCTCCTGAGCTCTTTTAAAGTCCCCTTCAAATACCTTTAAAAGTTGCCTCAGAACAGATCTGGAGTGGCAGAACCCACAAAAGGACAGAGTGAAACATTTTTCCAGCCCAAGATAGCTTAGGAAGTCATCAGGAAAGGTCTATCAGATCAGCATGATAGTGGAGCACAGTTCAGTGCAGGTTGTGCCAGCGCAGACAAGGCCCAGCAAAGCAGGACTTCTGGAGTTTTCAGCCCATAAACAGGAAGGGGGTCAGACAATTGACCAGAGGGAGATTACAGGGGTCACTTTGCTGGCACTGGTCCTCTGCAGGACTTTGTTGCATTGCCCATGTTCAGAACTGGTTTACAGTCCTGGGTGGCAGTCCCAGGGGAAGGAGGAGCACTAGCACACCAGAGCTTGCTGCCATAGGGGAGCAGGGACTCTGGTCACAGTTCCAGGGCAGAAAAGAATGATTGTGAAAAAAAGTGATTGTGGTCACTCACAGAATACAGCGCAGGCCAGGAGAGTAGTAAATAATACACCTCTCTTTAGTTCATGCCACCTTGGAAGAGCTTATCAGACGTTCAGAACTAGTTCTGAAAACAGCTGCACAAAACCCTTGAAACTTGGGAAAGAGCCCCCTCCAATACCCCCCGGAAGTAGAGTCCCACTTTAGCATAGAGTTAAAAGTCAAGAAATAGGGTAGAAAAAACAAACAAATAACAAAAAAATTCTGACTATAGAAAATTATTGTGGTGAAAGAGAAAGATCAAAGTACACACTCAGAAGAGACAACAAAGTCAAAGCTCCTACATCCAAAGCCTCCAAGAAAAATGGGAATTTGTCTCAGGCCATGGAAGGACTCAAAAAGAATTTTAAAAATCAAGTAAGAGAGGTAGAGGAAAAATTGGGAAGAGAAATAACAGTGAGGCAAGAGAATCATGAAAAAAGAGTCAACAGCTTGGTAAAGGAGGCCCCAAAAAAATGCTGAAGAAAATAACACCTTAAAAAGCAGAATGGGCAAAATGATAAAAGAAGCACAAAAATCTGATGCCTTGAAAAGCTGAATTAACCAATTGGAAAAAGAGGCACGAAAAATTCCCTGAATAAAAGAGCTCCTTGAAAAGTAAAATTGGCCAAATGGAAAAGGAGATACAAAAACCCACTGAAGAAAATAAGTCCTTAAAAATTAAAATCAGTTGGGGCAGCTAGGTGGCACAGTAGATAGAGCTCTGGCCTTGGAGTTAGGAGGACCTGAGTTCAAATTCAGCCTCAGACACATGATACTTACTAGCTGTGTGACCCTGGGCAAGTCACTTAACCCCAACTGCCTCACTAAAAAGCAAAAAAAAAAAATTAAAATTAGTCTAGTGGAAACTAACGACTTTATGAGCCATTAAGAAACAATAAAACAAAATTTTAAAAAATGGAAAAAAAAAAGAAGAAAATGTGAAATATCTCATTGGAAAAACAACTGACCTGGAAAATAGATTGAGAAGAGATCATTTAAGAATTATTGAACATCCTGAAAGCCATAATAACAAACAAACAACAAAATAGATGTCATTTTCAATAAATTATCAAAGAAAACTGCCCTGATATCCTACAGCCAGGGATAAAATAGAAATTGAAAGAATCCACTGATCACCTCTTGGAATAGATCCCAAAATGAAAACTCCCAGGAATAGTATAGTGCTCCCAGATCAAGGTAAACAGGAAAGAAAACTCACAAAGATTTCAGTAAGATTAAATGGTTTACATTCCTACATGGAAAAAATGATACTTGTAACTCCTAAAATTTTTCTCATTACTAGGGCAGTTAGAAGGAGTATACGTAGACAGAGAGCATGGGTGTGAGTTGGATTTGATGGGATGACTATCTAAAAAAAACAAATTAAGGAGTAAGAAAGAAGAATGCATTGGGAGAAGAGGAAAGGGAGTAGTAGAATGGGATAAATTATTTCATATAAAAGAAGTGTGAAAGAACTTTTACAGTGGAGAACAAAATGGGGGAGGTAGTGGGGAGTAAGTGAATTTTACTCTCATAAGAATTGGCTTACAGAGGGAATAACGTACATGCTCAGTTGGGTGTAGAAATCTATCTTATCCTATAGGAAAGTAGGAGGGGAAAGGGATAAGAGAAGGAGGGAAGTATGAAGGAGGGAAGGGAGGGTAGATTGAGGTAGATTAAATACAGAAGCAAAACACTTTTCAGGATGGACAGGGTGAAAGGAGAAAGAGTAGGATAAATGGGGAAAATAGGATGGAGGGAAATACATTGTAATCCTAAGTGTGGAAAATTTTTTACAGCAAGTTTCTCTGATAAAAATCTCATTTCTTAAATATATAGATAACTGATCAAATTGAAAAAATAAGAACCATTTCTCAATTGATAAATGGTTAAAGTATATGAACAAGCAGTTTTCAGACAAAGTAATGAAAGTTATAATAATATGAAAAAATGCTCTTAATCCCTATCGATTAAAGAAATGCAAATTAGGGGCAGCTAGGTGGCACAGTGGATAGAGCACTGGTCCTGGAGTCAGGAAGACCTGAATTCAAATCCGGCTTCAGACATATAACACTCACTAGCTGTGTGACTCTGGGCAAGTCACTTAACACCAATTGCCTCACCAAAAAAAAAAAAAAAGAAAGAAAAAAGAAATGCAAATTAAACAATTCTGAGCTACCACCCCATACTTGTCAAATTGGCTAATATGACAGAAAAGGAAAAAGACAAATGTTAGAGTGGAAGTGGTAAAATTGAGACACTAATATGCTGTTGGTGAAGTTGTATACTGATTCAACCATTCTGTAGAACAATTTGGAACTATGCCCAAAGGGCTATAAAACCACTACTAGGTATGTACCTCAAAGACATATAAAAATAGGAAAAAGACCTGTATGTACAAAAATATCTATAGCAGCTCTTTCAATGGTGGCAAAAAATTGGAAATTGAGGGGATGTCCATCAATTGGGGAATAGCCAAACAAATTGTTGTTTATGATTGTGATGTAATACTGTTGTGCTGTAATGAAATGATGACCAGGATACTCTCAGAGAAATCTGGAAAGACTTACATGAACTGATGCAAAGTGAAATAAACAGACCCAGGAGAACATTGTACACAGTGACAGCAATATCATATGATGATCAACTGTGAATCATTTAACTGTTCTCAGCAATACATGATCAAAGACAATTCTGAAGGACTTATGATGAAAAATGTAATTCATATTCAGAGAAAAAACTTATGGAGTCTGAATGCACATCGAAATATACTTTTTCTTTGATTTTTTATTTTTATTTTTTTTTTGGTCAACATGACTAGTATGGAAATATGTTTTGCATGACTGCACATGTATGACCTGTATCAGATCACTTGCCTTCTCAATGAGGGGGTAGGGGAGTAAGGGAGAGAATTTGGGACTCAAAATTTCTAAAAATGAAAGTTAAAGGTTGTTTTTGCATGTAATCGGGGGAAAATAAAGTATTAAATCATTAAAAAACAACAACAACAACCAAGAATAATATCTGGGTACAGGAAAGGAAATGGTACAAGTCATCAGCCCCTGTTAGTCACATCTAAGTAGTACCTCTATTCTAGATGGCATGTTTGCTACTTTTTTTTCTCTCTTTCTTTTTTTTTTTTTATGCGAGGCAATTGGGGTTAAGTGACTTGCTCAGAGTCACACAGCTAATGAGTATTATGTGTCTGAGGCTGGATTTGAACTCACGTCCTCTTGACTCCAGGGCTGGTGTTCTATCCACTGTGCTATCCAGCTACCCCTCATGTTTGCTGCTTTCAAGTGTTTGTAGGGCTCTTATATATTAGATATATTTTGTTTTGCCTCAGAGGACATAACTAAGAGAAATAGTAAAAATTGCAGAGGTAGATTCAGGTGCATCGTAAAGAAAATGTTTCTTTGTATAACATTAGTGTTATGTACTTCCTCAAGAGGTTTTCTTCTCACTGGAAATCTTTCAATAAAGGCTAGATGACTGCTGCTGTGCTATTAAAGACATTTTACATTTATGGGATAGAATGAATGACCTCAGAGGTCCTTCTAAGTTGAAGATTCTTTATGGTTATGTTTTCTTCTTTTGTGACAAGTCTTTGGAAGTTAGTTTTAATTATTAGAGAGCTTGCTTTTATAGTCTAATACAGATTTCCTTTTATTAAAAATTCCTTTTGATTAACTTTATGTTTTCTTTAGTTGCAGAAGATGCCAAAGGATTTGGACCAATTTTTGAAGAGCAACCAATTGATACCATTTATCCAGAAGAATCACCAGATGGAAAAGTATCATTGAACTGCCGGGCCCGAGCTAGTCCCTTTCCTGTTTACAAGTAAAATGCAATTACTTTAACTACTAAACTTAAGTGTCACATAGCTTAGTTACTGAATAACATTTTCACATTTAGAGAATTTAGAATTGTAAGGGACTTAGAGATCATCTAATCTAACTCCGTTTTTTTTTTGTGTAGTGATATGGAGCCCCACATAGAGAAAGGGAACCTGTCATTGTGTGGCTTGAAGGGAGGCAGAATAGACATCTCTAGTCTCTTTTCTCTGCCACCTTCTCCAAGGGAGGTTTTCATTCCTTCCAGGAGAAGAAGCAGGAAGTTGAGGCCAGAGGCTGCCACTTGGCTCTCAGAGAGAAGAGACAGTGTAGGAGTATATTTATATGGCCCCTTAAATATTATTAGTCTGGAGAATATGATTGGGTTCAAGCTAACTTTTTGATCACTTTTTCTTTTGAGGGGGCGGGGGAACCCCCTTGGGGTTCTATGTATCCGAGACTTTGCCCCTATCCCACCTAATACTGTTCCACAAAGAACACACATAGTGAATTGCAAAGAAGCATATTTATCCGAATTGCAGAAATGCAGAAATCAGAAAAGGTATCCATTGGAAAATATATGCTAGGCAATACAGAATGAAGAAACTCTTCCATTGGAAATAAGATAACTCACCTCAACCAAGAGAGTATCCTGGATCTCACTCAAGGGGAAATTCCCTGAAATCTCTAGAGTAGCAAATTTGAAATAAAGAATAATGTAGATTGCCTCTCATGTCTTCCCAGAGTATTTTCCTTCAGCAACCCAAAGTGGGATTGTCCTCTTGCACCTTCTGTTTCAAAGCTGGAAGCCAGGAGCACTCAAATGATGAGTTACCAGATGGGGACTAGCTGAAAACCGAAGTTCTCATCTCACACAGTGCAGGGCTTTCATCTCCACCAATAAGGAGAGAATACCATAACAACTGATTTTCGGACAACGGTTACAAATCTATGAGGAAATTGATGCCCAGTTATGTTAATTTATTTGCCCAGGGTCGTACAAACAGAGTTTTATGACTGTCAGTTGACTTATCTAGAAGGGATTCCTATGGGATTCCTATAGGGGGTAGGTGACTAGACAAGATTATGTCTACATTCCTTTCTATCTCTATGGTTCTATTTTAAACACACAGACAGAAAACTTCCTAATCCTACTATTGACCTTTTCATAGTAAAAACGATATGATTCCCAAATATCTCTGCAATCTTGACAAATTTGGAGCTAAGATCACTGTAAAACTTTGTACAAAATTTTGTTGTCTTTAAAACTAATCAGAAACATGTGGGATAATATGATAATGCCTGAAATAAAAAGGCCCTTTTTCCATATTGCCAAAGTCCAGAAAACTCACTCATTCCTGAAGCCATGAGGCCATTCAGGGTAGCCTAGAGATGAACCTTGGGAGAATCAACCCTGACCCAAAAGTATTCTGAGGTTCAATAGGTAGTCATTTTGAACGTAAACAATTTCCCCACACTTTTTTCTCATTGCGGAAAGAGAAGAAGTTAAATTACACCTTTATTCTAAATTATAGTACGGAAAATTAACACTAGAAGGACCAGGTACATCAATTGTTGCAAAAGTTGCTTGGTTCTTTGAAGTACTGTTAAATTCAGGCTCTTCTTAACGTTCTGCTTCTTTGTAACACTTCTCATTCACATATTATTTTGGGAGCATGTGGGGAAAATCATTGTAAGGTTCATTATGTCCGAAATAGGCCTTGTTCCAATACTAAGTGAATACTAGGCTTGCTCTTCTAAGGATAGTTTGTTTTATTGATATAGAAGAGAAACCATAGTCATTTGGTGGTACAGTGGATAGAGTGCCAGACTTGGAGTCAAGAAGACTTATCTTCTTAAGTTCAAATCTGACCTCAGTCATTTAATTAGCTGTGTGACTCTAGGCAAGTCACTTTACCCTGTTTACCTCAGTCTCCTGTTTTGTAAAATGAGCTAGAGAATGAAGGCCAACCACTTCAGTATCTTTGCCAAGAAAATCCCAAATGGGGTCACAGAGTCAGACACGACTGAACAACAACAGTAAGAGAAACCACTGATTTTAGTGGAGGAGGTAGGATCAAATCCTGGTTCTGTTACTACCTGTGCGGCTTTGAGCAAGTCAGTTCTCTCTGAACTTTAGTTTCCTCATTTGTAAAATGAAAAGATTAAACTAGATAATTTCTAAAACCCCTTATAGCTCTAAATCTTAGGATCCTATAGAAGCTATGTGGTACAAAGGAAAGAACACTTAATTTGGAGGAAAAGAAAAGAAAAGAAAACCCAGGTTTTGAATTCAATCTCTGCCATTCATTTATAAATTGATATGACCTTGGGGAAATAACTAAATATGTATGGGCCACATTTTCCTCAGTTATTAAATAAGGGAATTAGATCAAATTATTCCAACTCTAAATTGATAATATGTTCTCTTTCTGGTGGCCAAATTCTGACATTCACTTTTCAAAGATGATCCCTGAAATTCTGTTTGAGGGTCCTTTGGAACCAAAAGATTGGTCAGTTTCACTTCAATCACTTTGTTTTTTAAAAAATCAATGATTATTTTTTCAATTTTAAGCTGCACATATTTGAAAATGTTCCATGAAAGATAGTATCTAGCATATTCATTGTTTCTTGTAGCACAATAATGTTACATTACATTCATATACTAAAACATGTTTAGTCACTCCTCAATCAATAGAAATCTATTTTGTTTCTAGTTCTTTGCTACTACAAAAAAATGCTGCTATAAATATTTTGGTGTATATGAGGCCTTTCTTTTCTTTTCATTGGTCATCTTGAGGAGTATGCCTAGAAATGGAATATTTGGGCCAAAGGATAGGAATATTTTTGTCACTTTCTCTGCATTAATTTTAAATTACTTTCCAGAATGATTGAACCAATTTATATGTCCACCAAGAATATGCCTTTCTTTCCACAATTCCTCTAACATTGACTATTCGTTTGTCATTGTCAATTTTTTTGGGTTTGAGATGGAGCTTCATAGTTCTTTTGATTTTAATTTCTCTTATTATTAGTGATTTGGAACATTTTTCTCATGGTTAATAATTTTGTAATTCTTCTTTTGAGAACTATTTGTTCATATCTTTTGATGATTTATCTCTTGGTGAATAATTTTTTGGTCTCATGTTACTCTTGTCTATGCTCTCTGTCTTGGGTAGCAGACCGTTATCCGTGATATTTGATACACAGATTTTTTTTTTTTGCATTTAACTGCTTCCTTTATAATCCTACTTATTTTAATTTTGTTCAGGTAGAAGCTGATTGATTTCATGTAATCAAAAGAATATATATATATATATATATATATGTATGAAATAATTATTATTTTTTTTGGCAAGGCAATCAGGGTTAAGTAACTTGCCCAGGGTCACAGAGCTGGTAAGTATCAAGTGTCTGAGGCCAGATATGAACTCAGGTTCTCCTGAGTCCAGGGCCAGTGCTCTATCCACTGTGCAACCTAGCTGCCCCATCTGTTGTCTTTTTAACCAACTCTGTCCCTTATTTGATGAATAATTCACCTTCTAGATATAACTAAAAACAGCTCTCATCTAATTATTTTTATATGCTTTTTAATATTGAGGTTAAATATCCATTTCAAGTTTATTATGGAATATGTATGAAGTAAGCTGATGTTCTGAAGTTTTCCCAGTGAATCTTATCAAATAAAGAGCTCTTTCTTAGGTAACCTATGTTTTGAGGTTTACCAAAAACTGGACTATTGCATTTAGTTATTTTTTATTCTTCTCAAGTCTGTCTCATTGATTTATTTTCCTTTGATTTATTGATTTCCATTGATTTATTTTTTAATCAGTAGCAAAACATTTTAATGATTACTGTTATAATAGTTGAAGTCTGGATGTACTATTTCCTCTGCATTCATACTTTTGAACTAGAAAAGTAACATAAAAATATTAACCTGTTTCTAGAGTTCTTCAAGTTTTTGTGACATTTATTTGTTTTATGTATAGATGGAGAATGAATAACTGGGATATTGATCTGACAAATGATCGCTACAGTATGGTAGGAGGGAATCTGGTAATCAACAACCCTGACAAATTGAGAGATGCTGGAAAGTATTTCTGCTTAGCTTCAAATATCTATGGAATGGTTAGAAGCACTGAAGCAACTTTAAGTTTTGGGTGTAAGTAGCTCTTAACAGACAAATAATGTGCTAGTTCAGTAAAAACCTGAATGAACAGTATTTATTCATTATTTTCCTATATTTCTTTTATCGCACATAGTTGTTCTGCCACATGAGAACACTTTTACTAAGACTACTGGTATTGATATCATGGCCTGTATTAATGATGTTTCTCTGACTGACAAGACTGAGTCTTCTATTTCTTGTTCTTCTCTCTCCTTTGGAAGATTTTGCTCTGTTATAGAGGTGTGCTGGAACCAGTTTGAAACAGCTCATGAGAGTCTGTAGTTAAATTTTGAATGTAAGCATATATACCAGAGAAATCATAATATGCTACAAATCAGGGCTTGATTTGTTATGTCATTGATTGTTTTGACTTGGTAAAGTGTTGGAGAAAATGTTGATAAATGCAGATGAAGCATAAAAATGTGTCATGGGTAGGTTTTTATTTTTGTCTTTTGAGAACCAGTTGTTAAACATTTACCAGCATAATCCCAAAAGTTAAAGTTATCTCATAAGCTTTAGGATATATAATTACTGAAACACACACATAGAAACTTTATTGACGCTTCATTCACCTCAGCATTAGGAGGATCCCTTCATTGAAATGATAGGAACTAGTAAGGTTGAGTAATTCTCATCTATACTCTCTTGGTTGCCACAGACCTTCCTTTAGGTCTTTTTATACTTTGTGTATATCTGTTCAACACTTAGACTGAATTACTCTCAATCTTACTACATGATCAATCTACTTCCTTTTCTAATTGCATGTTTCCTGAATGATATTCCTTAAGAAATGGAAAGGAAAAGTGTTTATTAAGCTCTTACTAAGTACCAAACACTGTGTTAAACACTGGGGATACAAGTAGAAACTTGCTGAAAACAAACTCACATTATAATTGGGGGAAAAAGCAAATATAGGAGGGTTCATTTGCAGGGTAGATGGAAAGGCATAAGTTTTGGTGGTAGGGGTAGAAGACAAAACTCAGAATTACTTAGGGTGCAATGGCAGGTTAGACAGCAGTGCCTCAGTGTCCAGAGGGAATACTATTATCAGGGTAGATTGTAATGTCCCATGGTTTACCATTTTTTCCAGAGGGATTGTAATTGATGACTCTTTGCTCATTCAAGCAGTGTGAAAGGGCTATTTCATATCAACAGGACTTCATTGGAAACATGTTACAGGCTTTTTGAATTTAGCAATGTGTTTCTGCACGTTCTTTTGGGTCACAAAGAATTGCTTTGATTCCTTGACACTGTGACTTTTGAAACTTCACAACCATATCAAGAATGTTTATATCAAAAAAAAGATACTAATTTTTTAAAGGCAGAAATATGATAAATTTGAAGGAAGTGGAAATTTTAATGTAGAAAAGAGTTTAGGGCAAATGATAGCTGTGTTCAAGTATTTGAAGGGCTGTAATGTATAAGATCCTCTAGAATTGTTCTGCTTGGCCCCAAAAGGCATATCTAGAAATAATGGATCATTGTTTGTCCTTCATTCTTGAAGGGGACCAATGACATCAGGCGGGTGATGTCTTGACTCACAAGTGAATTAGATTTAAGTGAGGCAGGGCTGTGCAAAGTCCCAGGCCTTACTTCTCCTCCAGGGTTATCTGAGTCCGGTGGCAAGGACAACTGGAGATGACCCAAGATGCAGTGGGGAAACCTTGGCCTTTTTAAGCTAAGGTCTTTCTCAGGTCTCAATTTCCCTCAGGCAGCACCCATTCTGTGATTTAAGGCTAGAGGAGGAATGAGGCAGAAGATGGCTTAGTTTGCCTACTCAAAAACAAAAAAAAAAAACCAAAAAACAAATAACAAACTGGGAGGGAAAGACCTTCAGGGTTTCTGACCAGAACAGAAACAATTGCTATTTACTCTCACTTTGAGCCATCAAAACCCAAACAATGACCAAGTGAGGCTTGGGCTGGGACCTATTATTGGCCAATCAGTGAGAGCCAGAGTGATTTGGGTTTAAGTCTTGTTCAAGTAGCTTCATTTGGATCCTAATGGGTTTTATCAAAGCCTGGTTTTTCAGAGCTCTATTTCAAGAAATCATAAATGAAACTACATGGGACAAAAGAGTTAATTGTCCCAGTTTTTTTTTAAAGAAAGAATAAATAAGTAGGGAAGAGGAAAAAAAAAACCTAGCCCCCAAACCTCAAGATATCTTATGAGGTTTCAGTGATCAAAATTTGTATTCCTTTGCGCAGAGCACCCACATAGGAGAGGAGGAGGGAGGGAGGGAGGGAGGGAGGCATAGAAGGAGGGAGGGAGCATTGGCCAACCAGAACTGGCCAGTTGGGTCCCAATGGGGCAGCTACTACTAGTCACAGATTGTTGTTTGTCCTTCATTCTTGAAGAGGACCAATGACATCAGGAGGATCTTGATCTTGACTTGCAAGTGATTTGGATTTAAGTGAGGCAGGGCTGTGCAAAGTCACTAGCCATACTTTTTCCTTTAGGGTCATCTGAGTGCAGTGGCAAGACATGGGGGGACAGGGGGCAGAGAAGCAATGGGTAGAAGCTGTAGAAAAGTAGGTTCAGGTTTGATATATAGAAAGTCTTCCTAACCGAATTATTCAGAAGTGAAGTCAGTGCATTATGCATTAAGCTTCAGGCACTATGCTAAGGCAAAAGGCAATCCCTGCTCTTAAGTAGCTCACAGTGTAAGAAGGAAGCAACATGGAAACAACTATGTACAAACAAGCTACACACAGGATAAATTAGAAATAATCTCAGAGCGAAGCATTAAGCATTGAGAGGGATCAGGAAAGGCATAGAAAATGAGATTTTAGCTGGGACTTGAAGGAAGGGAAGGAGTGCTGGAGGTAGAGATGTGGGAGAGTTTTCCAGGCATGGTGAACAGCCAGTGAAAATAACCTGGAAACTGGAGATACCTTGTTTGAGGAAAAAAAAAAGACCTGTTTCACCGGATCATAGGGGTAAGGGGTAATAAGACTGGAAAGGTAGGAGAGGGCTGGGTTATCAAAGGGATTTGAATGTCTAATAGAGGATTTTATATTTGATCCTAGAGGAAATAAGGAACCTATAGAATTTGTTAAATTGTGGGGGAGGGAAAAGCAGTGACATGGTCAAACTTCTGCTTTAGAAAGATTAATTTGACAGCCAAGTAGAGAATGGACTTGAGTGAAGGAAAGACTTGAGGCAATGAGACCAAATAATAGGCTATAGCTATACTCCAAATATGAGGAGATGAAGGCTTGCACTAGGGTGGTGCCAATGTCAAACTAGAGAATAGTCATATACTAGAGATATTATGAACCATTCCCAAAGGCAGCAATATGGTGTTATTCTATATTATATTAAAATATAAAATAAATATATTCTACATTACTAATATTCTATTAAATACTCTATATTACCAATGAGGAAATAAAAGCTGAAAGGTTTAACTTTAACCTCCTTGACATATTTTTGCATCTATCTCCTTCATTCAACTCACACCACAATCACTTTGGTTTAGGCCCTCAACACTTCCTTTTTTTTGTTTGTTTGTTTTTTTATTTTTATTTTTTTATTTTTTGCCTCATCACTTCTTACATGAACTATTGCAATATCCACTTACCTGATATTTTGGTATCAAGGGTCTCCCCTTCTCTGACCCATTCTCCATATAACAGCCAAATTCATATTTCTAAAGCACAGATATGATTATGTCACTTTGCTGCTCAAGAAACTCAGTTGTTCCTCTGTTTGGCATGTAAAGCCCCTCACAGTCTGCCTCCAGCTGATCATTCCAGGCTGATTACACATTACTTCCCTTCAGGTACTCCAGCTTAATTGGCCCATTTCCTCTTTACTGGATGTGCTATTCCATCTTCCCTCTGTCTCTTTGCAGTCTGTCCCTCACACTTAGACTGTTCTCACCCTACTTCTATGTCTTAGAACTCATAGCTTTTCTTTAAGGCTTAGGTAAAGTGTCACCTCCTAGAAAAGGCCTTCATTTCCTCTGGTGGTAATGCTTTCTAATTCTCAAATTGCTTTGTATTTATTTCACATATGTTCCGTATTTATCTTTCTGTGCTTAGATTACGAATATTTTATCCCTCTAGTAGTAAGCACCTTAAAGACAGGGAAGGGAGTTAATTCATGAAGGCTAGGTATTTACTTGCTAAAACTATTGTAGAAGATATTCCTGTGAAAACACAGATTGTGGTAGGCATCTGAGACCCATTAAAACTCTGAGATTCTTGATTCTACAAAGTAAAAAATGTGGAAGGGTGAGCCAACATGGTGGAGTAGCAGGGAGAAGAACAGCAAAGGTCTCTCCCACAAAAATTTAGAAAATGCAACCAGAACAAGTTCTGCTTAGTAAATCTAAAGAAAAATTACAGTGAATCATTTTTTCCAACCAAGGTTGACATAGAGAGACAGACACAGTGGTGTGCAGACAATGGGAATTGGGGGTCTAGCTAGGAACCACGATGTTGGAGTGTTCCAGCAAAAAGACTGAAGTGGGCCAAGGCTGTATTCCAAAAACAAGAAGAGGTCCCAGATCCACACAAAGGGAACTGACTGTGCAAGATGCAGGGACACATGGCAACTGGCAGCTCTGTCACTCATTACCCAGTTCAGAGTCATAGATCCAAGGAAGGCTGAGGAGGGGAACTGGGCCTCGGGATGGCAGTCCAGAGTTGGGTACAGAAGTACATTTGACTCAACAGGGAAATAGGGAATGGAGTGAAGGAGAAAGAGGGATGACTTAAAATGACTTAAAATATTTGTGGTTTCTTACTTTTTTTAAGTCCATTCCCCACTCTAAGTGGATCTCTGTTTCCTCATCTGCAAAATGAGGGAGGTCAATCTAATAATTTTCTTTTCAGCTCTAAATCTACTATATAATATTGTTAAATTTTTTTCAGGCACAAAACTACTGAAATGGGGATGGGTTTAATCTAGGTCACTAAAAGAAAAAAAACATTAATAAAATAATATATCTTTCAAAGTATTGAGTAAAAAGAGTGATGTTGCTATTGGAATGGAAAGAAAGGAGCATTTATCTCATTTTTGAGGAAGAACCAACAGTCTGCATTTGGGATGATGGAAAGGGAATAGACAAAGGTGATTTAAAGGAGTCAAGTTGAGGTGATGGCACCATTGATAAAAATAGGAAAATCAAGCAGAATAGTTGATTTCAATCAATCAACAAACATTTATTAAGCACTTACTAAATGCCAGACATTGTTCTAAGCTCTGAGGATACAAATATGAAAAAAGAAAGTCAAGGAGTTAAATAATCTAATGGAGTAAGACAAAAAGATTCTGAAAAGTAGGGGTGGGAGAAGGTACCTACCACAGGAGAACTAAGTCAGAGAAGTATCAAAATAGCGCAGCCAGGTGAGAAATGAGGAGAAGTCTGAGCTGAGCTCTCTCCTTAAATGGAGGTTTGGAGTTCACAGCCTCATTTTCCAATCAGAGAAGCATAGAGTAGTGATGAGATGGACTACCAAGGCAATTAAGATCTTACAAGGTGATGAGATTATGCCAATAATGAGTTTCCTGGGGAATGGGGATTTGGAGCTCTTTCCTTAAATGGAGGAAAGAGGATTAGTTGGGTTTGGACATATTAAATTGAATTCCGAGTTGAAATGTCAAATTAGCAATTGGAGATACAGGACTAAAATTAGATGAGAGATCAGGATGGGAGATATTCATTTATTCAATAAATATTTTATATGCAAGTTATTTGAAAGTCATCTTTAGATGATAGTTGATGACATAACAGATAGGGGAAAAAATGCAGAAGCAGGAGACAAAAATCTCCTTAGATCTTCAAAATAACCACAGTATAGGGGGCAATAGGCGGTAAGGAAGCCAGGAAGAAGAGAAAACCAGGATACTATAAAGTCATGGCAAGCAAGGGATGAGCAAGTTCAAGGAGGGTATAGTTAACCTTGTGAAATGCCAAAGAGAGGCCTAGAACTAGGACTGAGAAAAATATGTAGGATAAACAAGATCCCCAGTGAGAATTAAAATATTGCATTTCCTCTTTACTCCTTTGCAGAACCTGGAACTTCCCCCTGGGAAATTTAATTCACTGCTTAGCCTATTTTCCTTGGGTCCTTCATCTCTAGTTCCCTTATACTACAAGAGAAACTTTGCCAGTAGTTGAGCCCAAAACCTTTATTTGTGTCAGGCTGTGTTGAGGTTTAGAGCTGGGAGAGCTGGTTCAGGTGTGAAAGAATTCACTTAGATCTTCTCTGTAACCATCGGGAGCTTTATTGATGCAGAAGCCCTAGAAAGAGGACTAGCATCTTACAGATGGACAGGGGTCTGTTTTATCTTACAAGATAAGGGGATTTGTCATGACACAGGATGAGGAAGATGAATGACAGGATAGGGGACCCAGGATAAGGAAGACAGGGGAAATTTTATGACCCAGGATGAGATGAGGGAGACAAGGAATTTTTATGATCCAGAAGGGGAATCTAGAGGGGAAGTTTTATGGTACCTCAAGATAAGAGGATGTACCTCAGGCTCAGGAGGGGCCTTACAAGGTACTGGAAAAACAACCCTTAATTAATTTTTTTTTTTAGCTTTTAGCTTTTAGGGCACTATTTATATTTACATCAGTGGAGGTATCAGACCTTTGGGATATATTAAAATTTTAGCTTCACCAGAAATATTTCTGAAGTCTGTTATTTCCATGAGTATGTTTAGTGAAGAGAGCCACATTAGACTATGAGCTTCTCAAGGGTAGGGAATTTCTTTTGTTTTTCTCTGTATTCCCAGCCCTTACTACAGTGGATAGCACATAGTAGTAGGTGTTTAATAAATATATATTGACTGACTGGGCTGAGAAGACCCGCTTATGCCTCATTTCCCTTTTCTTCTTTTCCCTCAGAAATGTAACTAAATGAGTAAATGTAGCTAGTGAGTTATTATAAATTTTAATGTATATTTATTTAAGTAAAAACCTAAAACCAAATGTAAACGTTTTATCTTTTGTTTTCTAACTAGATCTTGATCCTTTTCCACCAGAGGAACGAGTGGAGGTAAAAGTAAAGGAGGGGATAGGCCTTGTTCTTCTGTGTGATCCTCCTTACCACTTTCCAGGTACGTTTAGTGTATGCTTCTCAGCAGCGATGGAATAGGATAAGAAATAACTAAGAAATGTTCTATATTAGTTTCCAGCACAATGCTGCCATGATTACATAAAGTTTAAACCCTCAATTAATTGATTACAATTTATCATTAAGGTTTTTAATAACCAGTATTTTATATACCATGCTGTGTTTTAAAATACTCCCCCAAACTTCATATCAAACAGTTGGTGTTAAGTAGGACTATTACATAGTAACTTTTTTTTTGATTCGAGTTATTTTAGGCAAATCAGTAACTGACTTTTCATATGAGATAGATGAGGTCTGGTATTTTCTTAATGTATCCCTCTCAGATGTTATTTGAATTTTATTGGAATCTTGTATTTTCCATTAGTTGACTTCCCTTGCTTTACTGGGAAGAGATACCTTCTTTGGTTCTAGTTCCCCATTCTCAATCCCTCCTTCTTCTCCCTACTGGGGAGTAATCTCTTAGAAAGAATTTAAAAAGAGAGGAAAAAGCAATTCTACAAAACTAACACATTAAAAAAAAA